ATGAGCCTCCCCAGGGTCTGGGTACCCTAGAATCGCGGTCGGAGTGCCTTTATCACGGTGCACTGCCCTTTCAGGGTCAGTAGTATTATGTCCTTTCTTGAAAATATTTTTCAGTTTTGTTTCTGAATATTCAGGGTACAGTGTGTAGCAACATTTCCTCAAAATGAAAAGGCACATCATAAAGGCCACACATACGTACCTGTGTTCATTTCTCTTGACTGTTTTGAGAAAATTTCATCCGGCTTCTTGGGGTATTAATGCATATTATGTTACTTTAATATTAATAAAAAAAACATGTTCAGTTAAAGCAAAGCCTGAAACATTGTCATGAGATACGTTTTTAATTCTGACAGAAGGTATGGTATGAACGTCCAGAAATGGCAGTTCAGAGTATATATGTCAGAAATCATCAAGGTTGTCTTTCACAGGTGTGGAACTAACAGGTTGTCATATGCAGAGTCCTTAAAATCAGTGAGGAAATTTAAGGACAGTTTCTTAAAAAGTAATTCATATTTGGAGGTTTGTGCCTGTAGGAGACCTTGCTTTCAAAAGCAGCCATTTGCCCATCAGATTCATCTCAAATTACAGATGTGTGTGGGTTCTGGTGAACTTACGCAGACACAACAGGACCTTGGCTGGGAAGGCACGTCCCTCTGTCGCACTCGGGGGGGCCCCCGCCCTCAAGTCCACGTGGCTGGACAGCCACAGCCCGCAGCTTCTGCCCACAGGTGGGGCAGCGGTGGTTGCCTGTGTTGTGACTTGGTGACGTGGGCTCTCCTTCCAGGAAGACACGGAGAGGACCCAGATCCACGTCCTGGCCGTGCAGGCCATCACCTCCCTGGTGCTGAGCGCGATGACTGTGCCTGTGGCCGGCAACCCAGCCGTGAGCTGCTTGGAGCAGCAGCCCCGGAACAAGCCCCTGAAAGCTCTCGACACCAGGTTTGCCCGAGAAGCCATGTGTCTCCAGGGACGGCCACGGTGGGAGCAGGGAGGCGCCAGGGTGCCCTTTCCTTTGCTGCCAGAATTAAAGACAAAAGCCCCGTGCAGGGGGTGCAGATCCAAAGTGGCTTGGTGGCTGAGGCCTGATGACTCGGGCATCCAGTGTTTAGGGCAGATTCCGAAGGAGCTGACAGAACACCTGTGCAGGGCCTGCAGACGGGAACCGCCCACAGTGGGGGTGGGCACGGGGCTTGGAGGTGCCTCTGTTTCCTTGAGGCAAAGCTGGGGGAAGCCTGGTGGTTTTCACTTGTAAGACTCGGAGGAACCAGATGTTCTGTAACCTTTGTTCTGAACTTTAGGTTTGGGAGGAAGTTGAGCATCATCAGAGGAATCGTAGAGCAGGAAATTCAAGCGATGGTTTCAAAGAGGGAGAATATCGCCACCCATCATCTGTACCAGGCGTGGGACCCCATCCCTTCTCTGTCTCCAGCTGCTACCGGTACCCGTGGGGAGAGGGCCGGGCGTGCCTGGGGCTTGTGGGGAGGATGGGTTGACTGCGGGCGTCAGCCTATGCCCTGGGCTGGTGGGCACAGCTGCACAGTCCTGGCGCCGAGGCGGGGTCGCAGGAGGGCCCGTCCACCAAAGCTGTCGTCTGGGCTCCCAGAGGGCCGCCGGCTGGGTAGTCGCCTCGTTCGCAGCTACTGACTCTTAGCTTTTACACCTCAGCCCACAACCAGTTCCTGTTCAGAGTCTGAAGCTGGTCTGTTACAGAGAAAAAGTGATAATTCAGCATCGCCCCGCTGGCCCTGCCGGCTTAATGGGTTGTGAAGGGATAGAACAGCCCCGAGCCCCTCGCGGCCGTGCGGGCGGCACTCACGCGCCCTTGCTCCCGTAGGTGCCCTCATCAGCCACGACAAGCTCCTGCTGCAGGTCAACCCCGAGCGGGAGCTGGGGAACACGAGCTACAACCTCGGCCAGGTCAGTCCCCCGGCCTCCGTCCAGCGCGAGGCCCCATGGAGCGCGTGGGGACCGGGGGGCCTGTCCGGGTTCTCAGGTTCCTCCCCACTGCACCCTCTGCAGAATAAGCATGGCATTCTGTTGCATTTGTGGGGAGCTTTGTTAAGCAAGTAATTCAGAGAAACGGGGTCCTCAAGTGACTGCCAGTGAGGACAAGTTTTGAAAAGAGATCTCACGTTCTGGTTCAGTTTTGTGCCGAGACCTCACGCAGATGTCCCTTAGGAGTGAAAGTGTCCTTCCCTAGAGGCTCTTGCCTTCCGTCTCCTGGGCCGCTCCCGCCCGGCGCTTCATCAGGCCCTGAGTCCTGAAGGCAGAGCGCCTGGCGGCCCTGCTGAGGGCTGGGGGCTGCTCGCCTCAGGGGCCCCGGGCCGCACCTGCGGCTCCGCGCCCCTTGCCTCCGGCCCCGAGCGTCAGCTCCCTGTCCTGTGCCCCTTTGAAGGTATCCATCCGCTCCGTGTGGCTGGGGAGCAGCGTCACGCCCCTGAGAGAGGAGGAGTGGGCCGAGGAGGAGGAGGCCCCCGCGCCGTCGTCCCCACCCACGTCTCCAGTCAGCGCCAGGTTCCCGTCTGCCTTCTGTGTTCAAGTGCTCGGAGAGCTCTGATTAGTCACTTGACTTTCTGGGGTGTCTCTGGAAATGAACCTCTCATCTCTGTTGGGGGGAAATTGCAGGAAACACCGGGCTGGAGTCGACATCCATTCCTGTTCGCAGTTTTTGCTCGAGTTGTACAGTCGCTGGATCCTGCCGTCAAGTTCAGCCAGGAGGACCCCCGTCATCCTGATCAGCGAGGTGGTGCGGTCGGTGCGTTTGCCCCCCGCCCCCCCCCCCCCCCCCCCTCCAGCCTGGGTCCCAGAGTGGGTATGTCCCCCCCCCCCCGCCCGGGGTTCCCGGTCTCTGGGCACCCGTGCGGGGCCATGCAGACACGGGCAGGGGGTGTAGTTCTTCTGGAGCCAGCGAAGGGGCGGTTTCCGCTGGTCCCGTCCCCGGCAGTGACACCCGTCAGTCCAGCGGGGGTGTCGTGGGGACGGCACGTTAACCGTAAGGTGTGAAGGCTCACCGTCCTTGTCCACGGCGTCTCCTCGGGGGCTTGTGACACACGGTCTCCTGACCACCGACCCACCGACCGCCCAACCACCGATTGGTGCTTAAGGAGCACCAGTTTAGAGCAGTTGTTCTCCAGCTGTTGGCCGGGGGGTTCCTCTGCATCCTTGAGATGGTGGGGACCCCAAGGAGCGCTGGTGTCTGTCGGTGACATCCATCTGTGCTTGCAGTATTGGAAGTCACATCTGAGAAGGTCTAAAAGTTACTTATTCAGTGCTGGCTTCTCTACATCACCCAGCTTAGCCATCCAGCAAGGAGAGATGCCCAGTTACTGGAACCGTCTTGTTACCTGTGCAGCACAGGGTTTTTATTATTTTTACCGAAAGATGTCTCTTTTAGGTAATGACAGACTTTTTTTTTTTTCTAGTCTGTTTTTCTCAATACTCCTTTAAAGTTTTCTAAATTGTTTCATATCTGGTCAAGTTGAGATTTTTAAGAACCTCATTTTTAATTTGTAATGTAAGTTTCAAATTGATTTTTTCAAAAAAGTCAGCAAGTTTAAGTACTGCTAAAGATCTTAAATTTTTAAAAGTTATCCATTTAAAAATAATAAGGATAACAATTTCTATTTTAAAATAAATTTTCAAAATTAGGTTTTGTACACTTTTGCAAATCTCTGTAATGTCTGGCTCATTAGAAGTCCCCTGGGGGGACTCCCCTGGTGGTGCATTAGTTAAGACTCCACGCTTCCACTGCAGGGAACGAGGGTTCGATCCCTAGTCAGGAAACTAAGATCCCGCATGCCGCATGGCGTGGCCGAGACTCTTGTATCTCCTCTGCATACAGTCTGTTAATATTAAGTAATTTCTAGAAAGTACCACTGTACAGTTGGGAGAGCACAGGAGAGAAAGGCAAGTAAGGTCTTAGCATTTTTAGGAAAATAGTTTTGACCTTGTGGCCCTGAGAGGCTCACCTAAGAAGTGCTCTTTTAGATGACTTGCTGAGTGTCCTGCTGGCTTGTTGGTTCAGCTCACCTGGGGCCTCTGAGAAAGGGCCGACCCCAGCCTTCCCTCACGCTCCTAAAGAAAAAGGGCCTTCATGCCTAATCAAAGTTCGTTTTTAGACGTAATGTGAACACTGAACGTTTCGGGGAGACAAAAGGAATCATCGCCAAAGCATTAATTTCCGAAATGATCACCCATTTCTCCATTCCGCGGCTTTGGGTAGCTTCGCTGGCGGCGGCCTGGGGGCGGGTTCCCACGCGGCAGCAGCGTGTGCGTGCAGGCACTAGGAGGACGTGCGGGTACAGGGTTACAGTGTAGTTTAGGTTTCCGGGTTTTGTTGGTTGCTTTTCCCAGTCAGGGCCCCTGTGAAGTCTCGCGTCGCGCACTTCCCGTAGCGTAACTCACCCCTTGCTGCCCGAATGTCCCGTCGCCAGCTCCTCGTGGTCTCAGACTTGTTTACGGAGCGCAGCCAGTTTGAGACGATGTACCTGACGCTGACAGAGCTGCGGAGGGTGCACCCTTCGGAGGACGAGATTCTCCAACAGTACCTGGTACCCGCCACCTGCAAGGCGGCCGCCGTCCTCGGGATGGTGAGTGGGAGGCGGCGCGGGGCCTTGGCGCGCGTCGCCGTGGAGTGTGCGGTGCTGCGCGAGCCTCGGCTGGGGCTCCTGTCACCTGGTCCCTCAGGTTCTCCCGGCGCCTGGCCCTGGGCGGGCGCGGCCCTGCCGGCGGGGCTCCTCCTGGGCGGCCACCCGCGGCCCCAGGGCCTCCCCCCGGGCCGTGGGTCTCCGTGACCCTGCGCGCCCGCCCCCGGAGCTGGATCCTGTGCCCTGTCCTGAGCCCAGGGCCTGGGCAGGCCTTCTCCTGAGCCTTGCAGCTGTGCCTCTAGCTGATGGGGACTCGCCACCTTCTATGGCCACATCACCGCGCAGTGCAGACGCAGGAAGCACTGACCGCGGGCCCTGCCGTTTCTCAGAGCACCAGCCCCGCCACTGGAGGCAAACAGTGTGACTCCAGGCCACGTGGCATTGGCCGGTCACTGCTGTTTCTCACTCAGATTTCTCCTGGAACCCAGCTCTACGCTAGAATAGAGACGCGTTCCCTGAACAAACGCAGGCGTGACCGCCGTGAGCCGGGCATTTGGGCCCATCAGCGGGGGGCGAGGTGGCACCCAGGCGCCTCTCCCACGTCCCACACCCGTGCTGTCTGTCTTGACTGCGCTGCCATTGGCGGAGCTCCCCCTTGCACCCCACACACCCTGTGTACAGGCTGCCGGAGGTGGGGCCGCCATGATCCCACCTGCTCCCGAGGAGGCCAAGGCAGGGGGCTGCTGACTTGCTCCAGGTCGCACAGGACGGGGCAGACGTGGGGTGTGAGCTGGGGTCTACGACCGGAGCCCTGACCGTCCCCTCCTTCCCGACTGTTCCCCCATTGAATTTGTCCCTCCGAGCCAAGGCCCAGAGCAGGTACCATTCATCCTGGGTGGCCTTCGGCCCTGGGGCCACCGTCCAGGGAACAGAAACAACGAGTTCGTTGGCTTTCCGCTGAGCAGACAGCTCTTCCAAGTGTCAGCCCTCTGGGTGTGGAGAGGGAGGTACGTGCAGCCAGGCTTGAAGGGGTCCTTTTGTCCTTGCGGGAGTTTCAAGTGCTGGGTCTGTTTTCATGGTAATTGTGTTTGTGCTCTGGCCTAGATCCCTGAGGTAAATGTGTTGTCAGTAAATGGAACAAGTGATCGTGGTTTTCAAGAAGAGGCTTAGGCAGGGTGGCGCGGGACGCGGACTCCCGGCCGGTGTGAAGGGCAGCGCACTTTCCCTCAGGGCCCTCTTTCTGCACGTCGTGGCCTGCGCCCCTGCGCCCCGTGCAGCACCGGCGTTCCCGTTGCCCAGTGTGGTGGTAGCGGTGCCCTGCAGCGGGTCCTGGTGGTGGTGGTGGCCCTGGGTGCGGGCAGGAGGAGTAGGAGTCTCAGCAGTGTCACGTCCTCGGGGGCCACAGGACAGTTCCGGGGGTGCCGCTGGGCTGGGCAGCCTCTGTGGCTTTCGCAGAACGAGACAAGGCCCTCGGCCAGCAGTGGCCGCCCGTGTCTGGGCAAGGTGGTCTGTGAAAAACAGTGGTCGCCGTCCCTGCCTTGTGCAGGTGTCTGCTTCTCTGATAAAAAGCCGATCTGAAGCGCAGAGGGTGGTGCTGAGTGTTCAGGTTCCTACCTCTCTCCATCCTGCTTAGGCTGCTGAGGGAAACTAAGACCATTTTCGTACAAGTTAGCATAGGCTACTGTGCGGGTCCCCAAGGCCACACCAGCAGGACACGCAGGGCTCACATATACTCAGGGCTCTGATCCATCACAGTGAAGGGCTGTGAAGCAGAACCACCGAAGGGAGAGGGCCCGTGGGCGAGGTCCGGAGGAAACAGGCGCCAGCTTCCAGAACCCCGTCCCGTGGAGTCACGCGGGCCGCACTCCACCCCCCAGCGACACGCTGTCCCCAGCGTCAGAGACGCAGAACCGGGGCTCTCATTGCGGGCCCGTAGGCTCCGCAGGCCCCTCTGCCGGGCACACACCGAACTCCAGCCCCGGGGAGGGGGGAAGGCTGTCAGCACAGACACAGCAGGGGAGGCCCAGGGAGCCCCCCATCCCGACACCCCAGCTCCCAGACGCCAGCCCCACACGCAGGCCTCGCAGAGGGCTCTGTTCTGCACACCGGCCCGACCGCGGTGTGAGGCCAGCCTCTCTCGGCGCCCCACGGCACTGTGAGGCTAGCCTCCGCGTGTGCTGCGCCCTAGGACAAGGCCGTGGCAGAGCCGGTCAGCCGGCTGCTGGAGAGCACGCTCAGGAGCGGCCATCTGCCCAGCAGGATCGGAGCCCTGCATGGCGTCCTCTACGTGCTGGAGTGTGACCTCCTGGACGACACCGCAAAGCAGCTCATCCCGGTCATCAGCGACTATCTCCTCTCCAACCTCAAAGGCACAGCCCAGTGAGTGGCAGCGGCCAGGACCTCCTGCTGCTGTCTCCCTCCAGGGCTTCTGTCTGACCAGAGGTGGGGGGCTGTGAGAAGTGGCGTTGCACATTTTAAAGCGTATGTCAGACCCCGGCCGTATCATGGGCAGGGGTCAGCAGG